TTAGTCTAATGAGTAGAAGATAGTTTATTGAGCAGTGACTTCTAATTTTTCAATGATGGCGTGAGTCGGCACTAAAAATCTCTCACCAAATCCACTGAGACTCATCAAAGAGATTTTAAAATAAATTATTAAATGGAATGTCAGGCTGCAAAAATGGAAATCTGAGTAGACCTGAAACTGAGATACGGCCCTGAAGAAAGGAACCAGACAGAAAGAGAGCTCTCTGAACAGATAAGCTGAAGAACTGAATGAAGACAGCGAAGGGTAAGCAAGGAGGATGAGCTGAGGAAATCCCTCAAAATTCACAATGCAATTTTTTAAAAAAGGAACACTGTGGGAAAAGCCGACATTCCCAACATTGATCTAGTAGGCAATCTGGGAGAAAGTAGAGAAAATGAAGAGTGATAATATTTTTTAAAATAATGGCCAATCATTGCCCAGAAAAGAAGAAACACTTGAGATCTCATATTAAGAGATCTCACAAAGTCTGTTAGGGAGAATTTTTTAAAACACAAATAAACAAATAATCAAATTTTTAAAAGTAACTTAGGTATATCAGAGTGATACTTAAGACTATCAGAGATGTCCGGCCGGTGTACTCAGTGGTTGAGTGTTCACCTATGAACCAGGAGCTCACTGTTCGATTCCAGGTCAGGGCACATGCCAGGATTGCGGGCTAGATCCCCAGTAGGAGGCGTGCTGGAGGCAGCTGATCAATGATTCTCTCATTGATATTTCTCTCTCTCTCTCTCCCTCTCCTTTCTTCTCTCTGAAATTAATAAAAACATATTTTTTAAAAAGACTATCAGAGATAAAATCCTCAAAGCAAGAGGTAAAACATATTAACCTGCTGAAATTAAAATTCCAGAGAATCAGATTGATAGACAACTCTCATGATCCACAATGCATATGAAAAGATAATAGAGAAACATCTTCAAAGGCCGGAGAAAATACAACTTTGAACCAAAATTGGAAATACAAGCAAATTTATCATCCAAAAGAGAAAGTGTGATAAAGACAATCTTAGACATACAAAGGCTCTAAATTAATAACCACTGGCCCTCTATTTAACACACACACATACACACACTTAAATCTTTCAAAGCTTGACCATAAAAATGATTTTAATAATAATTTAGAACTAAATTACCAAATGATAGAAATATGGGAGATGAAGCAGGGCAGAAAGAACTAAAAAAAAAATGCTTCCCTTTTGAATAGAGAATATAGATACTGACACTTATTTTTCTAATAAAATATTCAGTTAAAGTATGTTATGTAAGGGTAACATACAGAATAGAACTAAAATAGACACCCCTATCACCTGCATGATCTCCCACTCCTATTATAAATCTAAAAAGTATTAAGAAGCTAGGAGCCCTAGCTGGTTTGGCTCAGTGGATAGAACAGCCGTGGGCAAACTACGGCCCGCAGGCCGGATCCGGTCCGTTTGAAATGAATAAAACTAAAAAAAAAAAAAAGACCGTACCCTTTTATGTAATGATGTTTACTTTGAATTTATATTAGTTCACACAAACACTCCATCCATGCTTTTGTCCCGGCCCTCCGGTCCAGTTTAAGAACCCATTGTGGCCCTTGAGTCAAAAAGTTTGCCCACCCCTGGGATAGAACATCAGCCTGCGGACCAGAGTCCCAGGTTCAATTCTGGTCAAGGGCACATGCCCAGGATTGTGGGCTCGATCCTCAGTAGGGGGCATGCAGGAGGCAGCCAATCAATGATTCTCTGTCATCATTGATATTTCTATCTCTCTCTCCCTCTCTGTTCCTCTCTCAAATCAATAAAAATATATTTTAAAAAAGAATAAGAATAAGAAGAAGCTAGGAGATGCCTGGCTGGCCAGCGTAGCTCAGTGGTTAAGTGTCGACCTATGAGCCAGGAGGTCAGGGTTCAATTCCCGGTCAGGTACATGCCCAGGTTGTGGGCTCGATCCCCAGTGTGGGGCATGCAGGAGGCAGCCGATCAATGATTCTCATCATTGATGTGTCTCTCTCTCCCTCTCCCTTCATCTCTGAAATCAATAAAAATATATTTTAAACGGTGAATAAAATCACCACAGGGATGCTGTCAACAAAATCCAGACTCTGGAACACCCAGTTACCTTGACTCCTAGTGCCGTACTATTTGTATTAAGGGATTAGTCTTTAAGTAATGACCACGCTTTCTCCTGTATCCTTCACTAGGTCATTCAACCAACTTTGTGGTGACCATCCTTTTACCCTCCGAGAGGTCCAAAGATTACTGGATTGCCAAGGGCTCGGCTTTGCTCTGCCAGCTGAATGAGTGAAAGGGGCCGCTCGGTGCTGAAAAGGAAGCAGGCCAGGGCTCTTTGTAGGGAAGAGTCTGCGTAATTTATATGTTAGCAAAACAGCATTACTTCTGATCTGATTTAATGGTAGTAAGTGTGGCTTTTTACTTTTCTTATAATCTAAAATAAAGTGTTTGAGTTTTTCTTTCTGTTGGTAATTCAAGCTTTGATGTGAAAACAGTGGGTTCAGTTCCCACCTCTTCAACTTGCTCCCTCTTCCCCAAATGAAATCTAGGAAACTGCCCCTTAGTGACCTGGGGGACACCACTCCCTGCCCCCGCGGGCAGCCAGAACTCAGCACTTCCTTACCCACACAGGCTCCCTTCCTCATCACACAAATATGAAAGGCCTGGTATGCACTTCAGTCACATGGCCCCGGGTGATGATGAAGACCAGATTCTAGGCCAGACAAAGGCTCAGAGCCTTCATCATGGGAGGTTGATGCTGTGACCATGACAACTGGAAGCAAATGAGCCGGATGATAAGATCCTGGCCCACGGCGCCAGTTCCCGCACTCCCCATGGCTATATTACAACCCTTGGAAGAGCCTGTGCTTTCACCAAAGTGCAGGTGGTCCTGGCCAGTGCCCAGGAATTTTCCCTTCTGCTTTAGGGTGAACCTGTGAACACTGTCCAAGTGCCACCAGGTGGAAGAACGGGGTCAGTCATAGTGATCCAGTCCTCCCATTTACCTCCTCTCCCTCATGCCCATTCCTATCAAAGCAAAAAGCAGACTCAAGTCACAGAGCAGCAGGGAGCGCCTCTTGTACTCCTCTGAGTTCAGTGCAGAAGTCAGAAGCCACTCTTGGTGTTTCAAGCAGGAACAGGTGCTCACTAAGCTTTGGGAATGGCTGCAGCTGCTGAAGTCAGGGGTTGACAGTAGGCTCCCCAGCAGCTGCAATCCAAGGTCAGAAAGCGGCAGGAAACCATACAACTCACCAGTATACCAGGCTGGTGCGCAGCTGACTACACAGTGGGGTATAGAGCTTGGCCCCCGCACAAACCTGGCTCTGCTGGACCCTGCTCATAACTGCCACCACCACTGAAGAGAAAGCTCTTCTGCCCCCCTCAGCCCTCCAGCCTCACAAACATAAATCTCACTATGAGAATCTTAGTTATGGCAGCAAGGGAATCTGGAAACGGTTAGCCCTCCTGCCCCTGCAATACAGGGGGTGCAGAGGTGGTGGACATGGATCCTAAGGGTCATCACACCATTCTCTTTTCCATGAGACCCTCAAAGATCTCTGGGCCCAGGAAATGGCTGAGTGAACCCACAAGAAGGTCTCTGGCAAGGAAGGAAAGACCCAGGCCATCAAGCTACCCTAAACCAGGTGAGGAACAATGACGTCTGCTTCATGTCGGCCCCACCCAACTTCTAGGAAGACCCTCTGGGTTGCGAGCTACTAAGAGGCCCAGTAGGACCATAAGGAAACTGTGCCACAGCTGAGAGACCCTGGCCTGGACACATGGTGGGATCAGGGTGAGGGTGGGCGAAGGGAGGCCTTGATCAGCTGGGCAGGGCTAAAAGTTCCGATTTCAGACTAAACTGGGGCAGCTCTACTCTTCCTCGTTTTATATAGACATTTCCAATAAAATTTTATTTGTAAAAGACATAGACATATAAAATAAATACATAACAAGACAGGAGGGAGGGGGGGCAGCATTTGAAAACCCTTTCTTGCACCTGACAAAGCTACCCATCTTCACATGTCAGTGACACACTCAACATACTGCACATAATGACAGCACGTGTCAGGGTGCAGGAGGCAGTCTACTCACAGACCAGGAATAGAGAGGAACAGGACAAAGGCCCACAGCCTACTGACCCCCCGCATCCAGGTCAGGAGGAATAGGGAGAAGTCCGGGCTGTATCCTGGCTCTGATCAGCTATGTGACCTTTCATTTCCTTGTCAGTAAAGGAGAGGAAACACCCAGCTCACAGGCTGGTTTGGAGGATTAACTAAGAGTCGGTGTGAGCCTGGCCTCCACCTGAAAACCCGTCAATCATTGTTCTTTTCCTCCCCTGAAGTGTGAGCAGCACAGTGTGATGACAGCACCTGCTCTCGGCCCTCACTGTGCATCCGAACCTCAGGGAGATATTTTTAAAATACTGATTCCTGCCCGGCCAGTATGCTCAGTGGTTGAGCATCGACCTATGAACCAGGGGGGTCACTGTTCGATTCCTGAACATGCCTGGGTTGCAGGCTCAATCCCCAGTGTGGGCTGTGCAGGAGGCAGCCCATCAATGATTTTCCCTCATCATTGGTGTTTCTATCTCTATCTCTCTCTCCCTCCCCCTCTGAATCAATAAAAAATATATATTTAAAAAATACTGATTCCTGACCTCTCTTCCTTCAGGGACAGGTGTCAGGACTAAAAGACAGAATCCCGGAGCCTAGGACAACCAGCAACACACACACACAGACACACACACACACACACACACACAGCGCGCGCGCGCGCACGGCACACACACAAAGGCAGGGCCCTCTCCAGCACCCCTAAGGGCAGTGTCAGACTCCAGTCCAGTCAGTCAGCCTGGGACTAGGGCTGAGAAGGGCCAAGGGACTCAGCCCAGACTGCCTTCTGGAGCACACAGTCCAATGGATGAGGAAAAGCCCACAGCCCCCTCCCCCCCACCAAAACCAGCAGAGAACAACTAAGGGCCAAGCCCTCACTCCAAAGCTAAAGGAGAACAGAAGGAAGAGACAGGTGGAGGCCTGAGCTACAGAACTTGAGGTTGGAAGACTGTGCTGCATCACTCACTCTGCCACTGTGAAGGTGCTTTTCTCCAAGTCCCCATTTTACTGGTAAAAAACAAACAAACAAGAAACCACACACACACAAACGACAACAACAACAACAGAAAACGAATGAGGTGACCTGTCCATGTTTATGACATTATAGAAGAATTGTAAGGAGAAAGCCTAGGTCAGCAACTGCTCCTTCTGCACACATCCAGCCTCTGGTATTTCTTTCTTTCTTTTCTTTTTTAATTTAAATTCTTTTTTGAGTCTCCTTTCTCCCCCATTAACCTCTCCCTGGCCGCTCCCATCCCCCAGCACATGCCCTCACCCCCTGCTGTCTGTGTCCGTTGGCTATGCTCATATGCATGCATACAAGTTCTTTGGTTGCTCTCTTACCCCTTCACCCACCGCCTTCCCTCATAGGTTGGACAGTCTATTCGATGCTTCTCAGCCTCTGGTATTTCTGTCCTTAAGCCCAGAGGCTCCTTGAGAAGAGGAGAGAATTATTTCTAAAAGCTCACAAAAGGCAATAATTTTCCAAGTCTGTCTGAATGTACATAGTTAATAATAGTTAATGGTTAGTAATAGCTGATGTACCAGCCCCAGGCCTTACACTTAGGAGGCTCAGAGTCAGGTAGGAGAGAGAAGACAGACACATTTTAGTGGAAGTTTTAAAAGTGAAAGGTGCCAGAAAGAAGCTGGGACTCAGTGCTGAGTTAGGAAGAGAGAGGAATGCCTTCCAACAGGAAAGTGTTGTCAGGAGCCCCTTGCGGTGAGAGAGCCCACCCAGCAACGGTTCGGCCACCCTGGACAATCAGCATGGCTGACTTTGCAACTGCAAAAAGTCCAAGCTGTCATCTCACTCCTCGCAGGGGCCACCTGAGCATTCCCTGCACGGGAGAAGCACCAGAGGCAGGGCCTAACCAGAGGTAACCAGCAACTCACCAGCTCCAAAGACAAAGAAAAAGCCTTTGTCGGAGAACTCCTCCAAAAGGGCCTTCACCCACTCCCCCATCCTCTCATTCCACTTGTAGATGAGCTCCTGGAGTAATTGTCAATCTCCCGAGCAGTGATGAGTTCCTTAGGAACCTCCACCAAAATAAAGAGAAAAAAATTAAGGACAGTCCAGCTGGTGTGGCTCAGTGTTTGAGCATCCACCTATGAACCAGGAGGTCAAGTTCAATTCCCGGTCAGGGCACATGCCCAAGTTGGGGGCTCCATCCCTAGTGTGGGGTGTGCAGGAGGCAGTCGATCAATGATTTGTGCCACACCCGCACAGCCAAGGGTGAACCTGAGTGGGGGCTGCTGAAAGGCTTAGAAAAGACAGACAAGAGAATGAAAGCTGGGTCTCGGTGGAACGCTGCTTCTCTGAGAGCCAGCGACAACACTCACAAGCCGTGTCTTTATTTTATAGCAGATGCCACATGCAAAGGAGGGGCATGATCACGATGTTTACAACATTCTTGTGGGTTTCAGTCCCACTCAACTACATGCACCTGAACTCTATCACTCAGGCACGTGGGGCCACGTGTTCGGACCATAGGGTCCAGCTTACAACTACAGCTGTTGGCTATAATTGTGCTGGGAGGGCCCTGCCCTCCAAGCTGGGACTTGCACATGGCCCTGAGAGAACTGTGCCCTCTCATTAGTCCAAATGAAAAGTGAGAGGAGAAAAGGCAGAAAGGGAGGGCTGTGGGGGCAGAGGAGTCTGGCTCTGATCACACTTCCAATCCCTATAGTCCAAAACACTGTAGCCGCGCCCCACAATGATTCTCTCTCATCAATGACATTTCTATCTCTCCCTCTCCCTTTCTCCCTGAAATCAATGAGAATTAAAAAAAAAAAATTAGGGGCAACAGAGTTATGAATGAAGTTGCTTAATTTGAGCATCAAATCATGAACCAAGAGGGTCAAGATGCAGTCAAAGAGGAGGAGGAAGTGATGTGCCATTCTTGGAGTGAGTCTCCTGCGTGCTGCTTCTCAAACTGCAGTAGCATTCTATGAAACCCAAATGACAGACATTACATGCAGTGCACTGAAAGGACTAGTGGGCTATTTACAACTGTGTTTCTACTCCATTTCAATGATTCTGTTTGATGCCATCTATATATATAAAAGCCTACGTGACCATTACAACCAAATGACCGGAACAACCGGCCGACCAGTCGCTATGATGTGCACTGACCACCAAGGGGCAAACACTCAACACAGGAGCTGCACTCTGGTGGTCAGTGCACTCCCACAGTCAACCTCCTGCAGCCCCTCCCCCCACCACCTAACCTCCATGGCCCCTCCCCTCAACCAGCCGCCCCCCCCCCGCCATGGCCCTGATGGGGGACCAGCCAGCCAACGTCTCGTGGTCCCTCCCCCCTGCCGGCTGGCCCCGCTATAGGCCTCAATCGCCAGCCAAGCCAAGGGACCCCACCCATGCACAAATTTGTGCACCGGGCCTCTAGTGTGTTTATATAAGGAGACCATATTTTGGCATAACACACCCATAGTTTTAATTTATTTTAATTCACACATGCTTTGTTAATAAAAATAATTTTACATAGTTAATATTTTAGAATCAATAATTACGATTCTACTCCCAAATGCATGGAATTTCTATAAACATTCAACTGTGTTATAAATTCCATTAATATCCAACTGTTTTGTAAATTCCATACACTTAAATTTTCATTATTTCCTCCAATTCCTATTTCCCCCTCTTGCTTTCTCCAATGTCCTTTCCCCTCCTGCCAAATATTTCACCTGATTCTAGTACACGAGTTGGCTAATTTCAGTATTTACACCAAAATTGTGACAATCAGGGTGGTTCTTGCCACATAGGGGCTATAGGTGGGGCTGGCACATTGGGTTCTCTCCTCAGCCCATTGGCTATCGGCTTCCCAATCCTGGGCCTCCTCACCCCTTCTCTTCTAGCCAGCATCTAACCAGGTTAACCATTACCTTAGTCACACGTAGACTTAGGTATCTATGCTGCCTGCCTCTCCTATCCCCAGCAGCCTCTCAGAGACCTCCCACAACCCCTAGATTCTATGGCACTGCCATCAGTTTCCATTTTATGGATAAGAGATCTACCTCTTTTAGCCATTCCCTTAAAATGATATCCTTTTGTTTTCAAATCAAAAGCCTCATCTTCTCCTTTAGCAGCTTCTTTTTAATTATGTCGTTTATATAAGATCCTTGTGTCCCGTTCCCCAAATCTCTTCCCTTCAGCAGAACACTCCCTCTGTACCAGCCACCCCACACAGGCTCCCAGAGATGTCCACTGCCATTCTGCTCCACCTTCTTAATGCCTGACATGACCTGAGACCTGCACCACGCCTCCCTGGCCAGCCGGCCCTCACTCCCCAGTGGCAGACACACTCCCTATATCCCACACCACCCGCAGGCCCTGAGCAGGGCAGGCATGGAGGAGCCCCAGGAAAGAAATGTCCTAGACATCTGTCCCCTACCTGCTCCATCAGCCTCACCATTTGCCTATATAATCTCCAAATCCCCCACCGCGTTAACTTTTCTCTACCGCTTCCACTTTTAATTTCCCAATTGCCCCTGATCTTCCTCCCCATTTCCCCCATTTACCAGGAACGTACATGGGAATTATCACCTCATAAACTCTGCTGTTGCTTCTGTAGTCAATTTCTTGTTTTCCCTTTTCTCTTGCTTGCTGTGCCTGGCGTGCCACACCTACCACTGTAGACTCTCTAGAAAGCTCATTATGTCTTTTGACACTTGTGGGGTGAGGTTGGCTTCAGCCTTTCCTTCGTTTTCCCTCTCCCCCGTGCTGCCATGCCCTTTTCGCCTCTTATTTTCACTCCCGTTTCCTTAGGATGGGTCCCCAGACCTGGACAGCTTCACTCGCACCCACCAGCTCCTTTTTCTCTTTTCCCAGTGCCCTCCTGTATGAGGACACTGATTCTGGCGGGTGGAGGCAACACACTCCCTTATCTCAGAAGCTGAGCTGGCACTTGCCACTTCCACATGACCTGGGGGGTGTCGGGGAGAAGCCATGGTTTGCCCCACGGGAAGCTTGTTAATAAAAACATAACAAATACCCATCCACCTCCCTCCTGCAGGGAGGCTGCAGTCCTCTGTGTCCTTCCCCTTGATGGCCCACAGGTGGCACTGTCCTGTGTGAACACACTGCACAGCTTGGCCAGGCCCTGCAATGCTGCAGGATGGGGTCTGCGTCCCTATGCTGGTAGCCTTCCCGGCTGCTATGCCCACCCCTGAAGGAGCACATGGACACTTGAGTGGCATCATGCTCACGTGTTCCTGGAAGCCGCTAAAAGCTGCAGGAAAAGGTTTGCTCCATCATTTCTCAAAAATGTCAAAGCCAGGAGGCTTTCAGACTTGGCTGCCTTCCCCTCCCGAGGCTGATTCATGCTGCCTGCTGCCTCAGCCATGAGGCCTGATGGGAATCACGGAAGCTGCGTCCTTTGACTAGGATCCTGGGATTAACTTTAATAGATGCCCCTCTCAGTTCTGAAGTTTCATAAAGAATGTGTTTTCTAGCTGCAGCGTCTCATTCAACATCTATCTCTACCCAATGTTATTTTGAGAGCCCATCGTGACCTTAATCCTTTGTGTACAGGAAGTGCAGGTGTCCACAGGCGGTCTTTGTTCTTGTGTTCAGATGCCTGCTGAGCTGGGCAGAGGACAAGGGCCCTCGGCTGGGCGCTGTGATGGCTGAAGATGACGGAGCTGAGGTCCCCGCAGTTACACTGTTTGATGAGATCCTCCGTGGTGTAGGGATGTGAAGACTGCCTGCTCACAGGCTCTCCTGTTCGAAGCAGAAATGGTCTGGAAGAGAGTGGAGAAAGCACAGGCCCTTTAAGTTCACATCATTAGCTGCGGTCTCATTTCTTTGGTCTGTGTTTGATAATGGCCTCACCTCTGTGATGCTGATTTTTTTTTTTTTTATGCTGCTATTTTAAAAGGGAACATAGATTCCTGGTTCGTGTCCAAAGAAAAGGACAGTCCTGCCAGCCAGCCGCCATCAGATCACTCCTGGGGAAGTACCTTAAGAGGGACACAGACAACCTGGAACTCCCCCATAAGAATGACTGAGAGGTGAGGAGACCCAAAGAGCTAGCTTATGAGGAATGGCTGAAGAAGCTGGGAGGAGAGGGAGGGGCTGGGGCACACAGACACATGAATGGGTTTCGGTTACATGAAGGACTGGACAAGAATATATACACAATATACACAAGTCTTTTCTAACCATCAGTGTGGCATTTGCTGGCTAATGGATTCATTGGGTCCAAGGGATGTTAATGGAAGTCACTGTGTTAAAAAGGGATATGAGAGCAAAACAAAATCAAATAGGTTTTATCTGCTCGTGGTTTCTCAGTCTTTGCTACACTAACATGTGATGTGTTTCTCCTCAAGGGGGAGAGAGGATGCTGGGTTCCCCAACTTATTTGAGTAAACATCACAAGACAAGGGTTCGCTGGAACATCTTGTGGGAAAAGCCCAAATTCAAGGAATTTTACAAAGCAGGGAATTCTCCGTGGTACTGGAGAGCTTGGTCAGAGGGGGGGAGGGAGATTCTGGCCCCAGGCGGGAATTGGGGCTGGCACCCTGTAGGAGGCTCTGACAACACTGAAGATGCTGTAGCATTTTCTCTCCCCAAAACCTTGTGCCAATTTGAACTCTAAGGACGTGTTTCTGGACAAAAGGGGTTCATTTGCCTTCACACATCAAAGCCAATAAGAAACAAACGGGAATTTGCAGCAAAGAACGTAGCGTTTATTTTCAGGAAGTGGCCCAGGCCCAGAGACAGGTTAGCTCGTGCTCAAAGGCCTGGCTCCACAGTGGCTTCCTGGAACCGGTTCTACGGGGGATTCACTAATCACAGTGACTAAGGGAGTTAGGGTCGTGGTCGTCTACTGGTTGGGCTGTGCTAGGGTAGGGGTAGTTGATCAGTGCACGTGGTTCTGATGTCAGCCATGATGTGGCTTCACGGTCTGGTTTCACCGCTTTTCTGGGCCTGGAGCTGAAACACAACTGAAGCCTGGATGTTACCTTTACTTTGACTGAAACTCTTGTCTCTGTGGTCAGCAGACCCAAGGCTTTGCTCCTAAGATTATCTGATGCTGATCAGAACCTCCTTGTCCTGAGGCTTGATGCTTAAGGGAGTGATTATGCAAGAAGAAGGAGGCAGGTGAGTCAGGATGAGGAAGCCAGTTTGAATCAAAAGGAAAGATAGGAGGAAAGGTCCTATTAAAGAAATAACGTTTCTATGCCCTTACACAAGAACCTTCGCCAAGTCCAGGTGATTTAAATGTAAGTCCTGGATTAAGGAGCCATCCTATACAATAATCCTATACAATAAAAGGGTAATATGCAAACTGACCCTAACAGCTGAATGACGTGCTATGATGCGCACTGACCACCAGGGGGCAGACACTCAACACAGGAGCTGCCCCCTGGGGGTCAGTGCACTCCCACAGGGGGAGCTCCGCTCAACCACAAGCCGGACTGAGGGCTGCGAGTGCAGCGATGGTGGCGGGAGCCTCTTAGGGAGCTGGCCTAAGCCATCAGTCAGACATCGCCCAAGGGCTCCCGGACTGCAACAGGGCACAGGTCGGGCTGAGAGACCCCACCCCCAGTGCATGGGCCTCTAGTGTAAAATAGGTATCATTGAATGTCTTTAAAACACTCCAAATGGAATAGGTGTCAGGAGGCCTGAAGGCTATGCAACTGAAACAAATGGTCCAAGTGGAAGTTGGGTTGGGAAGGCCTTGGTAGACACATCACCTTCAGACTCAAAGATGGATAAACGGTCGTTTTAGCTCTGATATATAACAAAATACCACGGCTTAAACAATGGACACTTATTTCCCACAGTTTTGAAGGGAGAAGTCCAAGATCAAGGTGCTGGCTAATTTCTGTTGAGGACACCCTTTCTGGCTTTAGACAGCCACCTTCTCTCTGTATCCTCACATGGCAGAGAGAGAGACATAAGAGAGGAGCCACAAACATTCATTCCCTAACAAGGCATGAGATTGAATAATCAGAGGAGAACTGATCTCGGACTGGGCCATGATAAACTGCTTACTAATTTTAAGAGACCAGGAAAACAGTCAGGCACTCTCCACCACAGCACACGGGCACGAGTCATGTGGCCAAGCATGAGGCCAAACTGAAGGGACAGGAGTAATTGTCAGTGGGCTGAGCTTGGAGCCAAAGGCAGGAGGACAGTGAGCAGGCTGAGATCAGAGGCAGCGGGTGGGGTTGGGTGTTTTCCCTGACAGCCACACTAAGGGAAGAGCTGTCTGCTAAAGAGCGTGGTCCTAGGGCCCGGCTGGCGTGGCTCAGTGGTTGAGCATCGACCTATTGAACCAGGAGGTTGTGGTTCGATTCCTGGTCAGGACACATGCCCAGGTTGCAGGCTCGATCCCAGTGTGGAGCATGTAGGAGGCAGCAAATCAATGATTCTCTCTCATCATTGAGGTTTCTAGCTCGCTCGCTCTCTCCCTCTCCCTTCCTCTCTGAAATCAATAAAAAAAATATATTGAAAACAAAAAAGAATGTGGTCCTAGGAGAAAGGGCTGGGAGGAACAGGAGTCTGACTCTACTTGGGGGCCCAGCCCCCAAGCCCCCCAGCAAGGACTCCCTTTTTGGTCTCTCTGAGCTCAGGACATCATCAGTGGTCACCCGTGAATGACCCGAGGCCCTGGGACTATCAGCATTGGCTTGTTTGCTGGATATAGGTTTCTACAAATGCAGCATTTGGTAGATATCCTGACCAATGCCTGATTTTCAGGAAGAAAATGAAGTCATTAGCAGAATTTCTAGATACAGGAAAGCCATTTTCTTGCTATACTCATATGTCACCCACTTCTAGAATCTCATCTTCAGTTCCAGCAGCTATTTTTAGTGTAGAGTTCCCAGGCATTCAGCAACAATATCAAGCATAGACTCAAGAGCTGGAAGGTTGGGAGGGAGGGAGTCAAAGAAGATAGATTAAGGGAAGAACATTTCTCGCCTTCAACTATTTTAAAAGAGATCATGGTGGCAGTTTGTGAAACTGGCAGGAAAGTAGATTTTGACATCTACCAAGAAAAACCTTCCTGGTGATTAGAAGTGTCACAGAAGTCATACATTTCCTGTAACTGGAAGTGATCAGAGATGAGACCACCACCTTCTGGGCCCATTCCTGACTTGTGTGCCTGGCAGAGCTACTGGATCTTCATTCTGTTCTCTGTAATAGCACTCCTCAAGTTTAATATGCAATGAACCATCTGGCAATTACTAAATTGCAGACTAATTCAAGAGCTGGGGGAAAGATCTGAGACTCTGCATGTCTAACAAGCTCGCAGGGGATACCAACGCTGTGCTCCTGCATGCCTCTTTATTCCTGCTCCACAGCCCCACCTCCTCTCGTTCCCTCTCTTTCTGTCGGTTACACCCAGGAGACCTCAGAAACTACCTCCAGTGGTGAGTACTGAGGGGCCTTCAGAAGCCCCCCGACCCCACTAGGGATGAAAGCCACAGCCCCTTGCCCACATCCCCAGGTCCATACTGCCTCTTCCCCCTCTGCCAAGGCATCTGCCTCATTTCCAGGGGCCAGGGAGGAGGTTCAGGGACACAGGCTGGGGAGTCATGGCAATGTGACTCCACTGTGAATCATCTCTGTGTTGTCCACTGGTGTTGGGTCCCAGCTCCTTCGCTAGGGACGGGACCTCCTTGGACACTAGGAATTGGACAAAGACACAAGTAGCTGCTGTGTCATTGCCTTTGCACAAGCATGTGGCAATTGGGCCTTTAACATCTGGCTTTGTCCCACCACTTTCACAGATCCCAGGCCCTGTCCTAGGCACTGCCTTACTTACCTCAGGCTTCTATACAGTCACAGGTCTCACCACCCCCTCTCTCGCTGCTTGACTTCCACCTCAGCCAAGCCGGCCATAGCCATAGTAACTTCATGTATACGGGAGTCTACCAAAGGGGTCAGAATAGCCACCAGCAAACCCAACACTGCTGGAGGGACTGCAGCAAGAATTAAGTCTTTCATGCATGTTGTAAAACACTCACCAACAGGACCTCGGGTATTCAAATTAAACATGGCTTGTCTCATGCCCAGTTCCCATATGACTTGCTCTAAATCTACATACGTAGTTCATTTACTCAAGATTTCTGGCAGTTCTCCTGCGTCCTGCCTAATGCTTCAAGATGCCGCCATTAACCAGTCCATCAGGGAGTGTCCTCCCTGTCCAGCTCCCAATGGTGACTGATCTGTAGTGGTCGTCACAAGGAGGGATGTGTGTTATGGAGGCTAACTTTTCCAATTCGGTCAGAGACAGCTGCAAGTTATCTGCACCATCATACCACAGCCCTAGGAGCTACGCGGCTTTATTTTCCTAATTCTCCGAGGGCTGCCTGCCGCTGCTCTTTAGGGATCTGGTCCATCAGGGGTAACAATGCCTTCTCCCACGCCACCGGCGTTACCTTGACCTGCTCCCAATCCTCCAGGGGGGCCGAAGACATCAGGACCGCCTCTACCTGATACCATAGTCCGGTCAGAGGCCACATGTCCTCCAACAGGGCAGACAGGACACTTACTCCAGAATCCTGTTCGGGGACGCCAGCTGTTGGGTCCCAGCTCCTTCGCTAGGGACGGGACCTCCTTGGACGCGGGAACTGGGCAAAGACCGAGCAGCCGCAGGCCGATGGGACATGCTTTATTGCAGACAAAGCAGCCAGCCACCGGCTGTTCGGTAGCGCATGTTATACTACCTCAGACAACAGAGGCTTCTTGCCAAGGAGTGACATCAGTGTTACATGAACTAGTTACATACTCTAAAGGTGCGCCTGTGCGGCGCGGACAGGACAGCTGCTGTGTCATTGCCTTGGCACATGCGTGTGGCAAATGGGCCTGTAACATCTGGCGTGCTCTGGTCGGGGTCCCCACAGCTGGGCACAGAGAAATGGCCTCTAGATGTTGGTTGGGTGGATGGGTGGAGGAAAATAAGTTAACAATTGAATTGAAATAAATAACGTTAGGCTATAAACTATCTCCTTCCAAGCTACATAGCTTCCAAGTTGTTCCCTCCTTCACCTGGCGCAGGTGATGGGCTAATGTCCACCCTGTGACCCTGGAATGAGGCCACAGGACCATCAGCCATCAGTGTGTCTTCCCAGGGCTCGGGACTATGGCCCCAGGCCCTGCCCCCTATTTCCACCGCAGGTCTGACTCAGTGTGGACTCTCCTCTCCCTCTCCTGCTGCTGCCACAGGACCACCCCTACCACTCTCTACCCTTAACGTCACCTCCATCAATCTACATGGAGGACGTGTGGCCTCCAGGCTTCTGGAAATTCACCACCACTGGGAAGTTCTTACAGCGCCTGGTGATTCTAACTTCCCAGATGCATCCAGTGGAAATGCATGGAGGTCATCCAACTGGAACAAGCAAAGGCTACTTACCCAGAAATTGCTATAGGAAGGGAGACAGGTACAGTCACTTGATTAGTTTCCAAAGCAGCCAGAGGAGTGGGAACGCTTTAGAGAGAGAAAAGGGGAAGCTTCAGGTGTGCCCTGGTGGGAGGCTGCAGGCCTGGGGAGCCTGTAGGGGGCTCACTGAAAGCAGGGCACCTTTGTGATTGGTTATGGGCACATACAGGCTTTCCGCTGTGGCCCTAAATTGGAGTCAGGGGGACAGAAATTAGAGAGGCTGTCTATTGTCAAGCAAGTCCTGGTCATTTTGTGTCAGTTGCTACAGGAGTTTGTTGCCTTCCTGGGTGGTTACTGCAGATAGTGGGTCAGAGTTCTCTTTTTAAAGATGGTCTGTCCATTGTCTGTTTTTGCCAACCAAAAGTAATTCTAGCCTATAATTAATAATTTTTAAATAACGCATTTATTTAAGCCCTAGCGGTTTGGCTCAGTGTATAGAGCGTCGGCCTGTGGACTCAAGAGTCCCAGGTTTGATTCCAGACAAGGGCACATGCCCGGGTTGCGGGCTCGGTCCCCAATAGGGGGCGTGCAGGAGGCAGCCAATCAATGATTCCCTCTCATCATTGATGTTTCTATCTCTCTCTTCCTCTCCTTTCCTCTGCTTTCCTCTCTGAAATCAATAAAAATATATTTTAAAAAAATAAAAGCATTTATTTAAGAAAAAGGAGCTGGAGGCCAGAGATAGATTCAGGTAGCAATCTAAATTGTGGTCCAGGGGAGAACAAGGAAAGGCAGGGTTTATCAAGGCAACAAGCACAGAGTGTCATTATTTCCTGCAAAAGGAGGATTGCTGGCTAGGAAGCAGCAGCCTGGTCAGTTTCCATATGCGAGGGCGTGAAAACTGCAAGGCGAGGGTTAGGCCCAGTGTCCAGGCAGCAGATGTGGCCCAGGATGTTTATGGCTGCAGACTTGAGCTGAGTTTAGCAACGGGTTTACTAGCAGCTCTAAAAACTGAGGCGTAAGAAGTACAGAGGGCCCGCTTCCCAAATACCTCCCAACTTTATGTTATCTGTTAGCAATGCCTGTTCCCTTTTAGTTTTTCTCTGAAACACTTTTTGAAGCCAATTTCTCAGTCCTGTTTGGCTGGGCAGTTGAATCCATCCTCCTGACGTGAAGGTGATGGGTCCTGATGCAGAAGCTTCCCAGTGCCAATGTGCCAGTCTCAACGCTCAGCGACACCAGGGGCAGTCCTTCCTTTCCTCTCCTCTTCCCGTCTTCCTAAATGACTTAGTAAAATATTGGATCCAGGGGAAGAAAAAATAATGCATTACACAGGCATCTCAGTCGTCACTCCGGCAGGGGGCGGGGACAGTAAAAACACACATGTCCCCACGTGACACTTCAATCAATAGTTACGGCAGGTTCTGTAAGAGAGCAGTGGAGAGATCAGGTGATAAATGTTGCTCCTGCGTTAAAATTTGCTTAAATTTGTTTTTTACTGCTGGAGTCAAGACAGTCTCTTCAATAAATGGTGCTGGGAAATTTGGTCAGATACTTGCAAGAAAATGAAACTAGATCACCAACGTACACCATACACAAAAACAAACTCAAAATGGCTAAAGGACTTAAATGTAAGGTGGGAAGCTATAAAAATCATAGAAGACTCCATAGGCAGCAAAATATCAGACATCTGTCGTGGCAATATCTTGACCGACACAGCTCCTAGGGCAATGGAAACTAAGGAGGAAATAAGCAAATGGGACTACATCAAAATAAAAAGCTTCTGCACAGCAAAAGAAACCATCAACAAAACAACAAGAAAGCCCACTGCAAGAGAGAACATATTTGCCAACAATATTTCTGATAAGGGTTTAATCTCCAAAATTATAGGGAACTCGTACAACTTAACATAAGGAAGATAAACAATCCAATAAAAAAGAAATGGGCAAAGGACCTAAGTAGACATTTTTTGAAAGAGGACATACAGAAGGCCGAGAAACATATGAAAACATGCTCAAAGTCACTAATCATCCAAGAGATGCAAATCAAAACATCAATGAGATACCGCCTCACACCTGTGAGAATGGCTGCTGTCAACAAATCAACAACAAGTGCTGGAGAGGATGTGGAGAAAAAGGAACACTCGTGTACTGCTGGTGGGAATGCAGACTGGTGCCGCCACTGTGGAAAACAGTATGGAGTTACCTCAAAAAGTTAAAAATGGAACTCCCATTTGACCCAGTGATCCCACTTCTAGGAATATATCCCAAGAAACCAGAAACACCAATCAGAAAGGATATATGCACCCTATGTTCATAGCAGCACAATTCACCATAGCTAAGATTTGGAAACAGCCTAAGTGCCCATCAGCAGATGAGTGAATTAAGAAACTATGGTATATCAACACAGTGGAATACTACTCTGAGGTAAAAAAGAAGGAACTCTTTCCATTTGCAACAGCATGGATGGACCTGGAGAGCATTATGCAAAGCGAAATAAGTCAGTCAGAGAAAGATAAATATCACATGATCTCACTCATTTGTGGGATATAATGATCAACATAACCTGATGAACAAAAACAGATCCAGAGACAAGGTGGCACTGAGCAGACTGTCCAACCTTGGGGAGAAGGCAGGGGAGGGAGAGGGGGGTAGAGATCAACAAAAGGACTCGTATGCATGCGTATTAGCATGATCAATGGACACAAACCCTGGGGGCGGTGGGGGCTTGCCCTAGGGGGTGGGAATGGTGCGGGGGGGGGGGGGGGGAGGAGGTAATCGGGGGGAAAAAGAGACATGTAATACTTAAAACAATTTGTTTTTTACTGCAATGTCTTATGCATCACTGGCTGGGGTCGAGGGGCCACAGGCTTGGTCTCATTGCTGGTCTTCTGGAAGGAATGTGAAAGGACGAGACCTCAACCTAGAGGCCCTGATGCCCAGTGCTCCCCATGGTCGGTCCCGGCATTCCCCGCGGCAGGCTCCCCCCAGCCCGTCCCCACCCGTCTCCTGGCACCTGGCTCTGGGTTGGCCGCCCCCGGTCTAGTTTCCTGCCCGGGAAAACCGAGGGCCGCAGAGAGGGGGCAGGCCTGGGGCTCTGGGGGAGCAGGGGCGGCCCGAGCCCCTCCAATGGGGGAACAGCACCCTGGGCTCCTGGGTGCTGGGGAGCGGCCTTTGGGGAAGGACGCCTATCAAGGGGCGAGGACTGCACCCCCCATCTTACCCTGGGTCCTCCATTTTGGGGCAGAGCCATGTGCTCGGCGGGGCTTCTTCCCGGAAACCCAACCCTCTGCTAGCCACACCCAGGATTTCTCTGGAGTAACCAATGATAATCAAGGGAAGTGCACGCCATCACTATGACCACATCCTGTGTAATGAGACACCGACTCGCACCTGGCCAATCGGCGGGTCCCACAGTCCCTTCTCCTGCCCTCACTCCACCCCCCTATAAAACCCACAGTCCCATCAGGCTTCTCGCTCTCGGCCACTGGGCTTACCGTTGCATCGGTGAGTGTGGTCGGGGAGCCGAACTAGTTCGAAATGAAGGACTCTTTGCTTTTGCATCGGACTGGCTGGCTCCCTGGTGGGCTTTTTGGGAACCTTGAAATCTGGGCACAACAGAATGAAGGACATTTATTAGAGGCTGGTCTCATAGCAAACATGATTCGTGTTCTTCAGAACTCTTCTCACCAGCTTTTCCAGGTCTTTGAGGGCTCTCTGTACTTCCTCCAGAGACTTCACTATGCTTTCACTATAAGCTGTGACTTCCAGAGTCTGCATGTCTCCTTCCAAAACATCTGTGCTCTTCCTTGGCTCCAGCTCTCCGTCCACGTGCTTCTGTTCGGGTGTACACTGAGGTAGGAGCTTGTTCATGGTCTTGCAACTCTTACCCAGATCCTCCTTGTAGCAGAAAGGAACCAACAGCTGGAAAGGAGGTGCAGGTCGAAAAGAGCTTAGACCCGATGCCTTGGGGGTCTTCGGAGGCTCCAGGGGCCCCTCTGTGATGGTAGCATGCTATGGTAGGGGTGGGGCACCATTGGGTAGGCGGGTGCCAGCTGCATCAGTTTGCTGTCTTCATGCTTGCCAAATTGTGGTCCAATGAGATGGCACAGATGTGACTT